TTTAGGGACTCACGTTTGGCCTGTCTCAAGGTTCATTGGTGTACATGCTATCATGTGATAAGATATAATATAATATAATATAATATAATATAATATAATATAATATAATATAATATAATATAATATGATATGATATGATATAATATAATATAATATAATATAATATAATATAATATAATATAATATAATATAATATAATTTAATATAATATAATTTAGTTAGGGCATATGTTGCTCTGAGATCTGGCCGGCCTGGAGCGCGAGCACGGTCTTCTGCGTGGCGCATTGGTGCATGCTGAAACTGGACATCCAGGAGGAGAGCCGCTAAAGGGTTTTAGGGTTTAGGGCTTAAGGTTTTATGGGGTTTTATGGTGGTTTTAGGGGCCTGACCCCCTTCCGACCCAAACCCTACAGTGCTTTGAATCTGAAGCTTAGAGTCGAGGCTTCGAGGTTTGAGTACGCCAGCAGCCCTCAAGTGAACGACCGGCATTTCCACTCCCAAGGAGTCCGACAGCAAGTTCCTGGCACAGCTTCCCATTGAGAATGCCGTGCCCTTCACGCCGGCATTTGGCTCAGATTTCCATGAGCGGCACAGCGGGCATGATCGGTGCCGTGCTGATAGCTATGTAAGACACTCCGCCTTCTCCGCTTCAGATTCTCTTGGTGGCTGCTATGAGCCTGGACTATTCCGTGCTGGTGCCCAACGACGGTCCGGTTCCCAAGAGCACCCCTGCACTGGGTTTTACTGACCATCCAGGTCTTGACTCTTGTAGTTAAGCGCCATACTGGGTGCAAAAACGAAAGCCTGCCAGGGCCCAAAAGGCCTTCTAACCTACAGTGACCCACGTGAGCCCAGCAGCCACACCTCGGCAGGATGGATTGCCCTCATCTATGTCATCGCATGGGTGGCGTACATCATCCACTTCGTGTGGGCTTTGAGGCTCCAGATCCCTGTTAGGGCTGTCAGGAGTCTTTTGCTATCTGCTACCTGGGTTGGGAAAGGGATCACCCTAGATGACTTGATCCGAGAGATTCTGTCCAGGAGGGAGCGTGATCACAATCAGTGAGTACTCAAACCTTGGTCGCTTCACGTGAGCAGGCTCTTCGAGCTTGCCATGCCGCATCCGCAGGCCCGCTTTTGCAGAGTTTCACTGGAGCTCAGGGAGTGCCTGCCCTGCCGCAGGCAGATCCGCCCGAGGTTGCCGGCAAGCCATGGACTCCCGGTGAGTGGCGTTGACCTGAGCTCGGGCTGGAATCACGATCATCAGCACAGGGTGTTGTCATTACTGCAAGCTGGTGATGACGGTGATGATGATGCTAATGATGATGTTGATGTCGATTCTATGATTGTTGTTGTCGTCGCTGGCGGCTCCGGTGGCACATGTTCTCGGCATTTCAGAGCCCTTTCCCCTGTCAGCGGATTGCAAGTTCTTCAGGCTTAAGACTCCGATTTTTGTTAAAGTTGTTGCTCACGCTCCCTTTTCTCCTGAACTCGTAAAAGTGCTTCCCCAACGTATTCGGAATGTTGAGACCCGCAGCTCACTGTCCCAGGTGGCTGCCTCGTGCGCTGCAGCCTCGGCAGAGCAAACGCTAAACCACATGGCGATGCCATGAATTGGGTGTAAAGTCCTACTATTTCCATACTTGGCATCTGTGTCCCAACTTCTCAAGCCTTATCAAGTTCAGTTGTGGCAGCAGATAGGGTGCAACAGGGGCTGCGACGAAGCTCCGATAGCTGCCCAGATTCGCCAGCACTGTCTACATCGTGGCACCACCGAAGCAGCTTGAACCTGGAAACGTTTGCCTGCAGCAGGCAGACTCGCATGGTCCATGGAGTTTTTAAGCTTTTCAGACCTTTGCCTTCGTGGTCCGATGCAGTGTTGACCGGATTCCTCGCCCCTGAGCCTGGCTCTGAGAACCCGTCTCCAGGAGATGAAGGCAGCCAAGGGTGGCAAGGGAGCCACTGTGCCACAAAAGAAGGCCCGCGAGGCCCAGCGGAGGGGCTTAGTCCAGCCTCCAAGCCTTCGCGCATCGTCTCTTCGCAAACGTGGCATGCACTCTGTGCCTCTGCGTGTGAACGAGTATGTTGTTCTTGATGCTGTGTGTGCTCTGTATCATCGATCAGTCCGGCCCAATGCTCTACCCGTGGAAGCTCTTCCGTGGGGCCATCCTCACCAACATCAGCCGGGCCGGCAGGAAGTAGAAGGAAGGCTTGCTGTTCTCAGTTGCTAGAGACAGAGTGCAGACAGGGCTTTGTGGCGTATGGGGGGAAGATGTGATGTTTCTGGCTGCTGTCTGATGCTTTTTATTGGTGATGATGCTACTGAGCTACTGCGGCGAAGAGGTTGATGTAGTTTTTGGTGTCTGATGATGGTGACGGCGGTGCCAATGATGGCCTGATGGCGGCAACCGAGGCCTGTGGATCTTCATGATGTTCGGCCGTGTCTTTGACCAGGTCTGGGCAGTTAGCGGTCAGCACATGTTCAGCGCTTCGGGGGTTCGCACCGGAACCAGAGCTTCAGCTATTTCAAGACGCATTCTGCAAGCCATGGAGTCTAAACAACATGTTCTATATGATATATGAATGCTTTATGTAACATGTTGCATCGTATATCCTGTACCCTGTGCTTCCAAAGACTCAACGTATATACATGTATACAGTGTCTGAGAGATTCTGCCGCGATGAGTTGTTGAAGGTGCACGGCGAGCGGCAGCTGCTGAAGCAGGAGGGGCGCGTGATGCCGGGCACCCACTTCGCCGGGAACAGCAGGGGGCTGTCTCAGGAAGAGTTTGGGGCTTTAAGGAGGCCAGCTCTCTGAAGAGATTGCGTGCCCTTGGTGAGGCTACCTAACTTTAGGGCCTCGAGTCGAGCTTCAGGCGCTGGCCCTCCCACATGCAGCCCTGGACGACGCCCTGGACCCGCAACGGCACACGTGGCCCGGCTGCTGCCCTTGAGCCCTTGAGGCCGTCAGAATTGCAGCCAAGGCAACGAATGGGCCCACACCGGTGGCTCAGATCGCCGGCTGATGGACCGGGCGGAAGGGAAGAGCAGAGCGACGGATCTCTTGCGAAGTGAAGCCGTGCCAGGACCAACCGTACTTCATCCGGCAGGACGAGAAGGCCACGCTGAGCCAAACGGGTTCTTGAAGAGGAGGACTTGCCAAGTTCTCTGCATGGGCACACGGAAAACTTTTTCGGCTGGGCAGTACAGTGTGGTTGACGCCTCCCCAGCAGTCCAGTTAGTCCGAGAAGTTCCCAAAAACCCGTTCTTAGATGTTCTTAGATTCTTAGCGCCACTCTCACTGCAGCCGCGGCTCACATGACCCAGAGTATCAGGGCCACGTGGCAGAGACAGCATAAGGCTTGAAAAGGCCAATCCCAGTAGCAAGAGAAGAGGCGATGAAGCCGCGGCCCCTTTCTTCACGTACCTTCGGTGCAGGTCTCGGCGGTAGCCGAGCGCCTCGCCGCATCCTTGGGAGCCTTGGCCGAGGCCCGGGTTTGCGGGCAGTTTAGGGTTTAGCAGCGTTTTAAGAGTTCCGGTATCATGGGGATGCGGTGGTTCATGGATATCAGGACATGCAAGCGCTTGCAGAGCTCTTGCATGCGACATCAGGCACACATAAAACTACTTGTGGGTTGTTCTCTAAATCAGGGTCCCTTTTAGGGTCCTGTTTATAAGGGTGCCGTACTAGTTTGGTGACCGAAAAAGTGACTCCAATTTAGAGAACTACCCATAAGTAGTCTTTAACCACTGAACAGCCCCCTCTCATCTCCTGTGACGATCTAAGACACAGAGAGAGAAGAGCTCGGTCGCGACAGGCGCTGGAGGAGCGCGAGGAGGCGCTTTGCCCCGAAGACAGCTGGAGTTCACAGATAATGTAATGTAATGTAATGTAATGTAATGTAATATCACATAACATAGTATAATATTATAATATACGAGAGGCCCGCAGCACCAACAGCTTCTTGCAAATCCGAAGGTGCCATCCCACGCCCCAGGTGCGGATCTGAGAGGTTCGCCAGAAGCATCCCCAAACCTGCGAGCTTTGCTGTGGGGAAGTGCTGCTTTTGGGTTCCTCTCTCCACGGACTTGGAGCTCATGACTTGGAGTGCTAGGAGGTCCCTATTAAGGTCCCCAAGATAGCTGTTACCCACATAGTACTATGTAGAGTAGTTCCATACAGTATTACTATAGCTCGAGCATTTCATGAAGGGAAGAAAGCCCGGCCCCCGAGGCTTCCATGAAGGCGTCGCCGCCTTTGCAGAGGTGGGCACAAAGCACAAAAAAGCGCCCAAGGATGATGAGAGCAAAGCGCACAGAGCAGCAATCCAAGAGGGGACCCTCCCCAAAATTGAAGTTGGGAGAGTTCCGCCAAGGGGGGGGGGGGGATTTTTCGAGCTTCCTTGCAGGATCTGCTGCAGCCCCTCTCCCACGAAGGCCACTCAGAAAGGGAACTGAAGCGCTGCGCAAGTTTGTCATTCTTGTGAGTATCGGCACTCTTGTCATCCTGACGCGTCATTCTGCGACTGCCTCCCACACCACCCCGCAAGCTACATGCTACATGCAATATCCATATGACTCACGTTGCTCGGATGTTCTTCAGAAGCCCGATGTCAGGGCACGGAGCCCTCATCCACTTGCCGAAGGAGGCCTTGAGCTGCCTGGTGGACCTCTATTAAACAATACGCTTGCTCATTCCACATGGCAGTAGTGAAAGACGGAGGAGTGGTACTTGTGTAGGCGCAGTTCCAGCATCACCTGTTAGTTTCATGAGGGCATAACACCGTGTATCCACTCTCAAGCCACGACCGCCATAACCATGCACGCGGCCGCGCCTATATCATCATCACCATCGTCATCGTCATCATCATCATCATCACCATAATCATTCATCCTCATCGTCGTCATCGCCACCTTCATCATCGCCATCACCACCACCATCGTCGCAATCATCATCGTCATCATAACCATCATCATCAACAACATCATCATTGTAACACCATCAGCATCATCAGCAGCCTCACGATCCTTACCATCCCTACCATCCTCACCATTATTCTATTGTCATCGTCATCGTCGCCGCTGCCGTCGTCGTCATCCTCATCATCACCCTCCTCCTCCTCCTCCTCCTCCTCCTCCTCCTCCTCAGCACAATCATAAACATCGCTATCCTCATCATCCTCATCCTTATCTTCGTCATCATTACATCATGATCGTTATCCAACGGCCGCCACTACCACCACCGCCAGAACCACCAAGAACAACAGCGGCACCACCAGCACCAGCAAGCAACGCCGCATGCAACCGACAGCAGCATCACCGCCGTGACCACAACAGCCGCCTCCCTGCCCACCACGGCCATCATCATTGTCACCATCACCATCATCATCATCATCATCCTCGTCCTCGCCTTAGTCGTTGTCGCGTTCATATCAGCTACGGGATCATCATGCAGAAGCTCATAACTCTTGATGAATACTTCGCTGTTGTCGGAGCTTGACAGAGGCCTTGGAACAGCAGTGACAGCAAAGGTTCTGAAACAGTGCCAGTTCCTGCCAGTGCCTGCTCTCGTATATATGCTTGCAATCACAGGAGCCGTCAGGACCCTGTCAGGAAGTGTTATGATCTTATCAGGAATAACGAGGCTCCTGCATTGTAGCAGACTGAGTGATGCTTCGCGGATTTACGGGCGTTCATAGATGTGCTCCTGTGAGACTCTGAGCAGCCCGAGAACTGGCAGGTTTCTGTGAAGCTTTCCACCAAGATCCATAGCAAGTTCATCCTCGAAGGCTGGAGCCCTGCATTGCTTCGACCGATGCAGGGACCTTGAACGAAGCTCGAAAATGCCCCGGTGAAGTAGCCAAGACCTTGACTTTTTTCCTGCCCGTGCTTCGCACAGGCATGCACTAGGGACTTAGGAGAGTCGTACACATGAAAAAATGTTGACTCTTGCCTGCTGGTCACCAGTTTGGTACCCTCTACGACTGCGACTACTTATACTGCCAGCACTAACACAGGTGTGCTGCAGCTGCTGCAACTGCTGCCGTTGCGACTCGTTACCGCTGCGAGCAGCAGTGGCAGTAGTACTACGCTACTACTTCGATGACAGACACTTGCTGCTGCTTCTGCTAATGCCAAGAGCACTGTTGTGCTCTTGCTACGACTGTGACTGTGCCTACTATTGCTGGGGCCTGACTCTAGTTGTTAAGTCTTGGTCCTCCACAGAATTGATATGGCACCTTTCCTCCAGCAATCGTGCACGCCCAGAGAGACTGCAAGAGGACTCCAAGTGACCCTGACGCCAGGGCTTCAAACCTTGGGCTCGGTGCTCGGGGCGTCCTGGACACCACGCGGACTGCTGGCGCGCGACCCCCCCTGTTGTGGCCTTTGGGAAGAGCTCTTCGGAAATTGTGCCAAAGGAACAGACGTGTGGGAGATGGAGCCGCTGGGCCGGTCTCATGAACGAAGAGCCTATGCAGAGTCTAGGTTGGGTTGTAGCTCCACGTCGCAGGTTGCCACAGACTCGGGTGCCGTGGCGGAGTGTGGCGGGCTGCCTGAGCAGGGACGGTGGCCCTGCCAGCAGGCCGGAAGTTGAAAGCATAAGCCCCCGACGGCTAGGAGCACGTGCCGGAAATCCACCAAAAAAGCAGCCCCGAACAACTGCATGGGAAGATTCGGCGACGGAGGAAGCTTAGGAAACGTTACGCAGGTGAGAAATGCTTGAGCCAGCATTTTTCCGGTCTAGCGACAACAAGACTTTGGGGGCAGACTCTGGGAGTCTTGCGGACCGAGCCAACAGCAAGTGGTCCTCACCATCATCGTCACCAAGAATTGAAACTTGGGCTCTTCCTACTCCTGACCCTTATATCAGGACCGTGCCACCCCAGCAAATCACGAAGAAGCGCGGCAGCGCTGAGCGTGGCAGCCAGGTTGCCGATCGGCTGCCCTTCGGCCGCCTTTCTGCTGCTGCCGCCGTTCGGCTCCCCGGCGGTCCGAGACCCTGTGGAGTTGAAGTTCAGGGCTCTTAGGGTTTGTAGGGCTTTTTGGGGTTTGTAGGGTTTAGGGTTTAGACTTTAGGGCCTTTGAAGGGCTTGTAGGGTCTGCAGCCTTTCTAGGGTTTATAGTAATAGGGTGCATGGGTTTACGTAGAGTTTACCGGTGCGGCGGGTTTACGGGGTCTATAGGCATTTTTTAGGATTTGGAGTTAAGTGACAACGAATGGGTAGTTCTCTAGATTTGTGTCCCAACGAATGTTTCAGACAGCAATAGAGACAACGGCAAATCGACCAGCGCTTGATGACGACGATGGTGATTCTGGTGGGGGTGTCGGCGATGACACCTCCCGAGCTGGGGCAGGCATTTGAGGCATCCAGGAGCATCCTGGCTCATACCATCCCATCCGTGCGGCCACCAACTCTCATCTACCGGAATCTACCGCATCCAGCATCTTGGATCTTTCGAGTCGCAAAAAGCATCAGAGAAGGAAGGAACTCCTCGAAACGAAGCATCCAGGATCATTCCGTGCGGCTGTGTCTGCACAGGGCGAAGATGAGGCCCGGCTCAGTTGAGTCTGTCCTGTTAGTCTTGTTGTGGTCTCAAGCTCACTAACCGTGCTCGACTAGACATCCATCATCCAAGCCCTCCGTCCTCGACTCCCCAAGCCCGGCCATTCCATGCCCAACTTATCTTCACAGGCCATTCCCTAGACCCTAAACCCATGGTTATTGTCTTCCAAGTTTAGCTCCGGGACCCCCCGAAAGTTTCGAAGGTCGTCGTCCTCGAGGCCGACTTCCACGGGAAATCCTGGACTCCCGCCGGGGAGGCCGCTAAAGGGGCCCCACCTTTCAAGAGAGGGGGCCCGCGAGGCTTTTTGAGGGCCGATGAGGGTTTGGGGCGCAAGGTTTTCGGGGTTTGAAGCTTGGGGTTTCGGATAGCAGGTTTAGATGAAAGTTCCTGTGGCGCTGTGGGTATGCAGTTTGCAGATTTAAGAACAGAGGGAGTGGGAGTTCCAGCTGCCACTTGTTCCGAGTTTTTCGACCTCCCTTAAGTGAGGTGCGCCTCCCGCACGAGAAGGCGAGCCATCGCTTCTCCTTCGACGCGCAAGGCCTGGCCTAGGGCCCAGGGCCTAGGATCCTCTTTCGGACCTTGCAAAGAGAGGTTTTGCGGGCGCTCACGGCAGATGATGTTCGGTAGCTGACAAGAGGGGGTCCCGCCTCCGCCAAGCCGCTAAGCCGGCAGGTGACGAGCTGCTCGCCTCCTCGCACCACGGTGCCTTGAAGTGGCGCCTCGGGGATCTCAAGCGAGCGACTCAGGATCAGCCGCGCTGTAAACGCCCATGCAGAGAGGCATCACAAGGCGTTCATGCCGTACTGTAGCAGGATCGTCCTGAAAGACTGCTCAAGATCACTTGTTTTTCGCGACCGTCACTTCCCCTCTGCCAGCTTGCGCTCATGGCAGGTGAGGATCAGAGCGATCCCATTCCTTCAGCAGATGGGTTTCGCAATGCCAGGTCTTTCAGTAGACTGCCGTTGCTGTTGCATCGGTGTGTGATGAACTCAGAAGCTGAGAGTGATGGGAAGGCTTGGCTGCGGCAGGGGATTAAGCAGTAGTTGAGAGTTGAGAGCATCCGATCTGAAACACTTGTGAGCCCGGAGGTTCGAATTTATGATCACCCTGCCTCCGTCTTGGGGCAAGCAAGAAATGCGAACTTAGCAGCTTGGCGGTTGGGGTCAGATCCGTGAAGTGCCCTCGCCAGGCCTTCCCACAGCAACAGGACCCCTGTAGGGCCAGCGATCTGTTTTCGTAGAATTGAGTACTTGTGGGGGGGGGGGGAGGGTGTTGATTTAGGGTGCGAGCCCCAGCGATTAGCGTGTGTGTAAGGTGAAACGTAGTTTGAAGAGCTGGCTCCCAGGGAATCCTCACAGCTGTCTGCCTGATTTGTTGCGAACGCACAGGCCAGAATTACCGTGTCTCTGGCACCAGGCAAAATGATCCAAAGAATGCTCCGTGTAAGCCAGCAAAACCTCCACAGATAGTGATACGGTGCGATCAAGACTCGGGAAACATGGGAAATCTTGCCCGGTGCCCGACCTTTCTTCAGCCTTCTCCCAGCAAGTGTGTGCCCAATCATGTGAGAAGCATCAGGCTGTCCCACCAGTCCTTCTCTGTGCTTGGCAATGCTCCTCGCCCGCTAGCTTCTCTTTGATCCCTTTGCGCATTGCACGCCTCAGCGCACCGCACTTGGCAAAGGGCGCCGTGTCACTCCTGGTAGAGTCCCGACGGGCTCCCTATTGCGCCGGAGATGCTTCTATGAAGGCCGAATCCCGGGTTTGGAGTATCCTAAGCCTGAAGTTTCTGTGGCCCTTTAAGCAGCAACGACGCTTCTGCAGGTTCAAGGAGAGTGGTCTAGCAGTCTTCGCTGTTGACGAGTGAGGCTGTGTAATCTAGCTCCTGCTGTTTGGGCATTCCTGTGCCGCTTCTGCCGCTACTCCACGTGATTATCCTTTGACTTTCGTTTCGAGAGCCTGTCCACGTAAAGTCGCGCAGCCCTAGTGCCCCGGGCCCAGCTGGGATTCTGCGATTCTCAAGACTTGAAGGTTCATTGCTTATCTGCCGACGGAAGAGACGGGAAAAAGGTCACCAGAGCTCAGGGCCTGCTGCTGCTGCTGCTGCTGCTGCTGCTGCTGCTGCTGCTGCTGACATGACGCACTCTGTTGCTGAGGCGTGGCCAAGCACAAGTTCTCTCGCTGCATCGACTGGAAAGATAGTGTGCCGACCTAGCGATAGCTCCATCGTTAGTTGACGTGACGACACGATTAGGCAGATTTCAAGATATGCTCAACCGACTTTTCACTGGACAACACAGCTTGCATTCCTGAAAGTTGCACTGAAAATCGGTGGCCAAGATCCAGCCCCACACGTCGGAGTGCGTGTTTAGTGGATGTCGCTGGCAGCCACCCAAATGGTGGAAAGTATCAAGGATTGCCGTGTGTCGAGTTTGTTGTTGGAAATCATGAGGACTCCTAACTGGAGCGACCAGAACACAACTGTCAACGTTCACCATAGTGCACGTGTCATTGTGGGTCCCGCGGTATTCATCCAGACACCGTCACACTGCATTCGGTTGCGGAGTAGAGTTAAAGAGGCCGATCAGATCCTGGTGATGCTGAGTGATATGGAGTGGTTCCTTCGCCCAGTTATTCTAGCCAAGTAGAAGATGATGAAGATGTGATGATGCTCGACCGTGCCACCCTGCAGCAGTGAGTGGCTCAAGACTGTGCCAATAGCTGACAATCCTTCTTGCGGTTGTCTACTGCGGTTTGTGCTGCATGGAAGTGTATCTTCCAGCGCACATGTGGCCTGACTTGAATCTGCGCGAATACCTGTTGCGAAGATAAGGTGCGGAATCTGTTTGTACAAATGCTTGTTGGCACTCGCGTGGTGCATGCAGTAATCATGTGTACACGTGTACACTATTTAGTCACTATTCCATCTGTTCACGTCCTCCGCATGGTGCCGCAATATGGGAAGAAGCAGGCCATTACAGTGGTCCTGCTCGCGGATGACAACATAATCGTTGAACAGCTGTGAACTGACACTTGGCTTCGTCCCTTTTCCAGAAGCGATCTCGTCGCAGAATCACAATCAGCGACGCATCACGCGGAGGACGTGCTGTCTTTCGAGCCCGAAAGCCTGAACAACAGACCCCTCAACCCTCAATCTTTCCCTACCCCCCAAACTTCAACCCTATGAAGCATTAACCTGGAGCTTGAGACCGGGCCCCAAACCCCAAACCCACAATGCAACACCCGCCACCGGGTACACATTTCGTAGCAGTGAATTAATTCCCAGAGGCAAACGCAGGGCGCACTGTATCTATTGATGATAAAATTGCCTGTGGACTAAGTTGCCTTCGCCATGAGCGGTTTCCAGTTTCACTTTCAAGACTGGTGAGGTTGTCATGGGAACCTGGCCAGGCTGCTTGTCCTTTCGGCGCTGCATTCGCAAGAGTTCTCCTAAAGGCTGCGGCAGAACTCTGTGTGTCCGATTCGTGTCCGTTTGAACCTGATACATGATTTCTGAAAGCCAGGGGGAGGTTTGCATCTTGAGGCAGGCGCCGGCGCCCAAGCCTGCAGCACTCAAAAAAGTCCAGCTGGAACTACATGCAGCCAAGCTCTTTGGACTCGCCACGTATGACGTTGAAGAGGTGTGGCCAAAGTTCAGGAAGAATGTTGTAGCAATTTAGTTTGAGCTCCAAGGCCCACCTGAGCCTCGACACAGGTTGGCTCTCCACCAGTGCCCACTAATGTAGCTGCCCTAGCCCGGTGAGAATGTCCGACCAGGCTCAGACCCGGCAGGAATCCCAAACAGCTCGAAACCTACCTGAAGCATTCAGCTTTCTCTTCAAGGCCCTTGTGCCTGCGCGCCAGGTCCTTTTCTCATTCAAGCTGCGCATGCTGAAGCGGCTTCGCTGCCGCCTCACGGCATACGGCATGCAAGCGAGTGTCAAGCATGTTGTGCGCATGTGTGAAAAATGTGTGAACATGTTTCAATGCGTTGTGATGTGTTTTCGTCAGTTTTAGTACTGTGTACAGCTCCTCTGAAGCAGCTCGACAATGGAGTTATTTCTTACTTCTACTGCTTTTAGTTCCGGCAGTCCTGCTATTGTGATTATTTTGTTGATTCTACTGCATCATTACTATATGCGGAATCCTTTGAACGCACTTTGCCACGTGGGCCGCTTTGTGACGCGCCTGCTGGTGAAGCCGTTGGCCCAAGATTTCGGAGACCTGACGCACGGATCCACCTTCGAGACCAACATGCGTGCCACTTCTGCAATGCTAGGGGCACTGGGTCTGGCAATGCGCGCGAGTGCGACTGTCCTAGTTTGGGAGACAATTCAACCTCGGCATGACTCTACAAACAGCTATGCCGGGGCCACCGTGAATGGTGACATGGTGATTTATGGTGGCACAAACAAACTCTACCGTTTGGATTTGGAAGGTACTCCCCAACAATGGTGGCACATCCAGCCGTCCGGCACAGCTCCGTCAGGATCTTGGAGCCATATGGCGGGTAGCCGGACCCACGATGAGCTCATTATCTTCGGTGGCAACCGCGACGTGACCGGGGACGACAACGTCTATCGCCTGACCGCCGACGACTCGAATGCCTTCGCCTGGCTTCAGATCACCGTGACAGGTACCAGGCCCACGCGGAGGGATTACCATGGTGCCATCAAACTTGCAGATGGCAGCCTGCTGATCTATGGGGGCTTCACGAAGGAGGTGTGGCAGCTAAATTTCCAGGATGTCGCAAGATCAACAGGCCATTGGCAGTCGATCAGCATCACGGATGCGACCACCTACGGCCCCGGTGCCAAGGCTCGCCTGAACCCTGCAGGGGTCCAAGGGCCAGATGGCCGGCTTCTAACATTTGCAGGCCACAATGACTTCAGCACTCACTATAACGATGTCTTCCGCCTTGTCCTGAATGGCTCCGTAGGAACTTGGCAGGAAATCGTGGTCTCCGGTACAAAGCCAGCAGTCCGGAGCCTCTCCACAGCAGTGCCAGTCCCTGACGGTATGCTTATCTGGGGTGGCTTCAATGATGAGCCTGGCCACCCGCAGAAACAGACGTCCTATGCAGATGTGTGGCACTTAACCCTGGATGCAGTGGATGCCACGAACGGGGTATGGCACGACCTGACGCCGGTTGGGTCTGCACCTTTCACGGGATCTTTTGCCCAGTCCTCCATCATCTGTGGCGTCGGCATGGTCATCACCAAAGGCACCCAAACAGCCGCGCTCAATTTCACAACCGGCTGTGCAGAGGGAGAGGCTTGGGCTGACGGCCACTGCAACTCATGCCCTTCAGGCTTCTCCAGTGCTGGCGGTTGCGCGAGGGAATGCCACCCAGTCTCCTGCCCAGAGGGCCAGGTGCTGTCAAACAGCACGTGCCTTCCCACAATGGCCCATGCGGTCAAGGAACTCCCCATGCCCAACTTCAGTGCATGGAGCGATGGGGGCCTCGTGCATTTGAGCTTCGAGGCACAGCTCCCGCTGATCGCTGAGGACGTCCCTGTGGCGTAGTGGCCCGATCTTGTGCCCACGATCATGCAAAGCAGCCTGGATACTATGCCTGCTTGCTCTGACCACTGGAATCAGACTGCGTCAGCACAAACGATCGAATTGAGCCTCACACTGAACTACTCAGAACTGGATGGGGATTGTCAGCTCAACACTTCCTGGACAGATGACACAGTGGCACGCCAGGGATTCGCTGTCCTCTCCTTCGTTGCAGGTGTGGATCCCTTGCCACAGGCATTCTGGTACTTCCCAGTGACCATCACCTTCGACCGGACCACGCATGCTTCCTTTGCCGGGATGGTTTCAGGAAGGTTTGTGATAGCGGGCAGCACGCTGGTCAACGTGCAGTTCGATGGAAGCTTGGCTCTCTATGACTCTGCGAGCTTCGCCGTCCCGAAGGTCCCGGCCGTCTACACGGCTCAGGAAATGGCCTTCGTGGAGATGACGCTGAGTGCCCCTGGCATGGAGTTGCATGTGGATCTGGCTTGGCTTTCGCAGACTAGTGACCCAGAGGCTCCGATGCGGCACAACCTCACGGACTCTCTTCAGTTGATCAGTGCCACTGCCAGCCAAGCACGCTTCAGCGTGCAGCTTCAGGCGGGAGTGTGGGTTAGGGCCGGTTGGGGTTGGGGAGATGCTGGGGGGGCCTTCTGCCAGAAGTTACTGCCATCTGGCCAAACTCTGTTCAGCCCTGGTCACCTTCCCTCAGGCCTGCAACGAATGCTTTCTGCACGTCCTAGCCTCCATCGTCAACCGACGCCTCAGCGAAGAGCAACATGGAAGGCATTTGAGTGTCTTCAACCATGCCCTCCAGAACATCGCGATCATCGTAAAGGAGGCCATCCTGGGTCGATCCTAGGACCTACAGTAAAACTACAGTGAAACTAAACGTAAATCTATTTTGGCCCCAGAAATGGCACCCCTGAGAGTTTTCTCTTTCAGGGGGTTATGCCTTTGGCCGAGGGCCTGAGACACTGCCGCCCACACCATCACACCAGCAGGGCCTCCAAAAGGAGTAGTGTATGTTAGTGTCATGTTCGTGAGACCATCACGAAAAAACGAGCAGACGAGACATCATCCATTTATGGAGCTGAAAGCTGCAAACACACGACCATGTAGGACTCAAGCAGCTTGGATGATGCCTGTTTGTCCCTGCGTGCACACGCACTAGGGTTCATAGGGAGCCTTTCGGGGGGGTAGGGAGAGGGAGCTGAGGGGGCGGGGGGAAGGGAAGTATACTTCCTTAAATGGGCCTTATTCGGTCCTTATTACTGCCCCCTACCCGCCTAAGGGTCCCCATGAAGGGTGGTTGAGTGGTTAAGAGGTTCGCGGTTTTCAAGCCAGGCCACCAGCTCCACCACGCCGCGCACGGCCTCTCCCCAATTCTCCGGCTTCTTCGAGTTGACCGTGGTGGATCCCGACGCCTTCGTGACAACGCCACAGGCAGCCGCAGTGGTAGCAGCGGACTCTTGTCCAGACGCAGAGTGGATGAGATGCCAGATTGGGCGGGGGAGGGGAGCAAGTCAATTTAGAACAGCGGTATGCCGGTATGCAACAAGACATATATTCTGTTACACATTATCAGCCTGCATGTTTAGATCTGACAGGTCCGGAAGGTCTTGGCGGACACGCTGGCGAATGTCTGGGGTCTCAAGGAGCTTGAGGTGCGCCTCGAGGCCCTGCCATACTGTGGCACACCATAGTCACCAATTCCACTCATCACATGCTGAGATGCTAAACGAAGCATAAAGATTACTGTGGACTCTGTACCCTGTGTCGCAGGGTGGAGGTTGAAACCCTTAACGGACCCATATGGACCCTCGAAACATTGCGGAGCTTTGCTTGTGAAGACCAATTCTACCGAGTCTGGTGTAAATACGACTTGGCACCTGGTAAGTTCCCTTGGCAGAAATGCTTACCAGTCCACAGTCTCATTGAGACATCGACATACCGGGATCCGGTGCTGCTGTATCACACACCCAAACCCACCATCTAACAACGTCACCACGAAGTCATGGTGATCCCTCTCGGGAGTCACGTGCATACACACCATACTTCAGATGTACTGGCATACACATAGTCCGCCACCGTCACACTACATGTTCGATACACTCTCGAAATAGCGACATCATGCATCATGTAAACCTTACTTTGCAAACATCGCTGAGTCTTGTGCCATACTTTGCCATACTCAAATTTCATTCTTCACTGTGCACATACCTTACATGACGCCACCCACTTGTGTGCCTCTGCCCAGTCCTCGAACAAACGCTCATTACCCAACTCATCTCCACCGTAATGCACAGCAAGCTACAACGAAGATTTTCCTGTTTTGTCGGCTAAAAGCCCTACAAACTTTGGGTGTCAGATCGGCGCTCTTTGCTTGCGGCACGGTTTGCTGAGCCATGTGCACAGTTAACTCCAAAGTCTCATGTGCCATTTTGTCAATCAAGCAAGACGCCTCGCAACGCGAGACAAACACCGTCACGCTCTGAGATGATCAAGATCCGCGAACGAAGGTATGATATGCTCCATTTGAACATCCTAGAGCTTGAGCTTGGAAGATAGGTGATCCTGGAATCAGCTTGGCTGCCACCTCTTGGTGCGCAGCCAACTATTTCATTATTCGGGGCTGGTGGGTTGGATTCCAAAGAGGGACCTGTGCCTAGAACCAGCCCTCTCAGCTGGGTTCCAAAGATAGTATGTTAAGGTACCCCCGACCGCTGACTTTCTCACAACCACCGCTCTTCCCCTCTTACCCCCTTTACACTTTGCAAGGCATTGGGAAGTGGGCGGCGTTTGGCGGGCACCGTGCGCGTGAGCTTCGAGGCAGTGGCGCTTGTGGACCAAAATATGTAAGCCACAGTGTAAATCCTGGTATTCCCTCCCCGACATATAATCCCCTGTACAACCCCACTTCAAGGAGTTTAAACTACTGCTAATGTGATCGTACATATCTGCTATCTGGATATCTCTCTATCTGCCTATCTGTGTAGGTATGTATGCATGCTCCTAGTCTTCAGAGTTATCTGACAAGTTTGTTTTTTGGGGACCTTCAGATCGTCAAGGGAAGCCAGGCGCGAATCGTATTTGTTCGATGGAAAGAACCGATAAATCTCAGCATTTGGAGGGAACAAGATCAGCATCCCACCTCATACTTGGATGCATACTCGTAACTTAAACCAACTAACACTCATCTCCACATTGAAATTCGATTCGGATCTACCTGTTTCAGGGGTCCGCGCACTTGTCGGGAGTCTAAACTCTAGATTTGCAAGGACGCATTCAACGAAGACTCAGTGGAAGTCGTTCGAGAATCGGCCTAGACTGCTCTGTGGAAGGAGGTTTTTGGATCTATGAAGGTTAGTTGAAGGGATTTTCCGCTCATAGGAGTGTATATTGAGTTTAGGATGTTGATGGGATGGCGAAGTTTTGTTGGACAACGTTTCGCACGTATGTATGATTTAGGCATGCGGGTATATAAGCACAAAGGCATAACTTTACATGTGCATATGGTTCACATGTGTGGATATATGTGTGTGTACACAGAATACCCGAAGGAAATAGAAGCCAGAAAGATTCTCTCCGCAAAATGAGCCAAAGAACGGCAGAGGCTGACAACGACTTGGAGTCTGATTCGCTCACGGACTTGGACTTGAAGGTGAGCGCGCGGCTTGCAGAACCCAGCTGCTTGCATGCGAACTTTGAGTGTGGAAGCAGGGTAAATGAAATGCGATATTTTGCACAGTGGTGCTGTTGTGGTAAACTGCAGGACTGACCTGCAATCGGAGCTTGCACATCAGGTTTTGTGTCGGACGTGATGCACCAGATCAATGATGCCATCGCGGTGGCACTGCCGAGTACCTCTGCCAGGTTGCATATTACGGCCATTGACAGCTTCACTGCCGAAGTCAAGAGGGAGGAGGCCATGACCACGGTGTTGTCCGAGGACTCTTTGAGCCTCGACTTGCATCCATCCGGGCTTGGCCTTGGAGTCGCCCTGGGTGCCACCAGTGTGCTGGTCTGTTGCGGTTGCAGCATTTGTGTCGGCTTGGCCATCTTGTCTGGCTCCCGGAGGTGGCAGAAGGCCCAGGTCTTTCCAGCACCGCCCATGAGCCCTGTGGCCTCTCCCCCTGCAAACGAACTTCTGGGAAGCTCCCGAAGTTGGACTTAAGAGCAACAGCTCGGCCAGGGCCTGCCCTGACGGAGCAGACCCGATCTCCCGTGTGACCTCCTGCAAATCTGCCCAGCTTTCGGGGGGTTGTTCTACACAAGAGGGACCCTGAGCGAACTCCCCTAGGCCCTAGTGATTCTACAAGTAGAACAGACTCGATGCTTCACGTTGGCAAACATCCACATGTCACATGTCTTCTGCAGTCCCGCCAAACCGTAGACCAAACTCTGATTGAACGCCGCTTTTTCCCCGGACTTGATTCTACAGCCTCATATGTATCTCTATATATATATACACACATACATATACATATACATATAACATATAACATATAACATATAACATATACATATACATATACATATACATATACATATACATATACATATACATATACATATACATATACATATATATATATACACATACATACACACACACACACATAGCCCACGCAACATGTCATTCCAAGACGACTCAATGAGCATACGTTGAAGGTCGAGGAACGTTGGAATTGCAATCAGCTTAGACAATGCCACGGTTGCCCACAACCCAGTAGCCTGTGCCCAGTCACTTCGCAGCGGGACGCTCTTGAGAACAACCTCCAACATTCCCCTGGGGCTTTAAGTCTATAAAGAATACCTACATTGGGCCCCAAAGTCTGTAACTACCGTGGATGATATATATCCTGCATTACCCATAATCAGGAATAGACCATAACTCCCATAGTTTAGTGTCCTTAAGGTAGTGCAGGATCTATGTCACCAACAGTAGTTCCCAGATTGGGCCATTTGGAGTTTGGAGCCTCAGGCTTCCTAGTACATCGCATTTGCAGCAGCTGAGCGTGGAGTCCGAGCCAAACTCTTTTGTTTGGCTCGGCTGCTTGGTGAACTCCACTCCACTGTGAGGAGCATCGTACTGTACACTGTACCCTAGGGATCCAAAGGGATTAGGATTTAGGGTTTGGGGTTTATGGTTTGGGGTTTAGGGTTCCTCCCAATAAATACTTTAGAATCAAATGGACAAGAACACGGAAAATGAAGCGGACACTGGGGTTCTAAAGGGGGCTATACTCTATAGTATAGGAAGCCATAAGTATACAAATAGTACCTACATTGGGCCCTAAAATCTGTCAATACTGCCTTCATTGGGCTATTTGGATCCCGGGCCTTGTGGTACACCTTGAGTCCTTGAGCCACGCATCGTCGAAGACCGGCATGCGCTGATTTGGGAAAGGTTCGCGAAGCCGTTGAGGCCGAAACACATTCCTGAAGCCGTCCCAAGGGCTTGAACCTGTCATCGATGCGATTGCCCAGACCGATTGAATTTCTGCAGCGGTGTGGCTCCAGCAAGTTTGGGAGCCACGGTATGCCCACACGCGAATGAAGCTGCCATGGTTCCTTGGCAGGGGATCGGTCAGGAAGGAGAGCCGCGTTTGGTTGTCTCAAGCAACTGCCAGTCGTACCTTCTGCGATTTGCCACGCCGAAGCCAAGGTTGCGAAGTGTCTACAAACACTGGGACGATGCCACATGGGACCGATATAGCCTCCCGACTGGAGTCGGAGTGAAGTCCTGTACTCGTTGAAGATAAACACCCGGGGCTGCGGAGACAGGGAGGCTAAAGTCATACCATGTCACACCGATGTGGCTTGCAGTGCGCGTGATGCGGAGGGAGACGTTGGCTGGTGAAACGAATGTCAGGCTGCCTCTGCGTCTGGTTTGTTTCGGATCTAAGCTTCGAGTCGCCGCATGCAGCACGCAACTTGTTTTGAGGGCCCCAATACCCTGGAGGTCAGATCCGCGTTCGCAGCCGAGGTTACTTCGAGCTCGCAGTGCTGGTCTCCCTGCCATGGCTGGTCTGCGTGCTGATGAGCGGCCCGGTTCGAGTCTGTCAGCTACGATGCCATGCATGGCAGCTCCGAGCCCTAGTATGTCACAGTGAACAGCCGAATGGCCGAGTCTTCCAGCTGGCCAGACTGACCACGAATTTTGCCGAGCTCTGATGCTAAGCAGTTCTTATTTCTCATAAACATGTGTCCCCGGGCAAACTTTCGCAGCGGAGTGAGTCCTGCCAAGGCTTCCTGTTCGCATCCACCTACCACAGCATGCCGTTGACAGTGCGGCTGGTTCAATACATGGAAGGAGGTTCATAACGAGTGTCAAAATTGGCTTCTTCTGCTCCTACATCACAGAAAGCTTTGCAATGCCTGTCGCTCCGGTGAGGGTGGGAGTTCCAAGCTAGGCTCGCGGAATGAGCAGGCTTGGCTTTGCGCAGTTCCGAGTTCAGATACATTTGGGGTTTACGCGATGTCTGCTTGCAAACAGATGTCAGAGCTTCAAGGTGGGTGATCGCACTGACCTTGCTGACTGTGTGCATTTGGCATGCGCGGCACGACGCGCAGCACGGGGTGCAGGACAGGTCTTGAATCTTGTGATGCTGCGGTGTCCGTCGATAGGACCCTGGCCTGAAGAAAACATTTACAAGTCAACTTGTAACAGTCCCCTCCGGGAAGCTGTGGTCCTGCACGAGGAGTGGCACACCGTGCTGCCGTTGTCCTGCATGGCTGGGGTGGTTGTGTCATCCTGCCTCGGGCTCGTGGCTTACAAAAGTTGCTTGAAAGCATCGAGCCTGAGGGAGGGGGTCGTGAGCCCATGAATAACGCGAAGTGAGACGCTCTTTTCTGGCACTGCTTCCAAGGCTTTGTGCAGCCAGCCGGCATGTCGATTCATGTCGGGCGAATCTGCAAGCTTCCGGGTGAGTCCCCGAACCCAAAGGGAGCTCCAAAGGTCAGGACCTTCAATCCTGCAAGCTCTACAGAAGGCCACACAGGCTCGAAATCCTAGACATGGCTGTACATCCCCACACCCTAAAAAAAACCCAAACCCTAAACCCAAATGGTCTGTTCTGAGGTTTCTACTCACAGTACTGGCTCTACCGGTCGAGCCATTCCTATGTGTGCCAGGGCCTGCTTGGCAGTTCTGTACCCCACGAACCATGGGGCTTTCTTGGGTTGCAGGGTTTAGGAGTTTGGGGGTTCAGGGTTGGGATGTGGATGTGTGTTTTTTTATGGTTAGGGACCAGCTTTGAGGCTTTGCCTTTCCAGGCCCTTTACAGCTTCCATCTGCACCGAAGGCCTTCTTGGGCCAAGGTGGATTTTTGCCTGCTGCTTCATTGCGAGGGGGCCTGTTGCGAGTCCCTGCTAGGACCTCTACTTGTGGTCCGCAGCTCTTGCCTAGGGCTAGATAGAACCTCTGAGGAATGTGCTTCCCTCGGAGCCCGCTGCGGGCTACCTGGATGCTGGGCCGCTTGGCTTTACTTGCCGAGTCCCTCGGGTGAACCGGGTCCGTATCTTTGGTTTTCAAGACTTTGGAGCTGCACTCGACCATGCTCTGCCTAAGCGCTCAGCGCCCATCATTCTAAACGACCTAGAACTCCAAAACCCAAGGTCTCTCATGCATTGCGGCAATGTAGAACCGCAGACCTTGAAGTCCTTGACTGTCAGGAAGCTCGTGTTTGCGGATGAGGCTCGCGTCGATGCAAAACGAGGCCTGCATGTGGGGGATGTGGCAGCTTCGAATGACCTCCCCAACGCAGACGGCTCTACCCGATTCTAGCTGCACACTGAAATTACAGCTGCCACGGCCGACGCGGATGTCATCGCCAAGCAGGTCAGATCATCATTCCTCCTTAGGAAAAAACGACACGCTGGCGAGTTGCGCAAGCAAAGCCTTCCGCCCGAAAAGCGCAAAGCTCTACTCCCACAATCCATCCGCATTCTGGTTTTTTGGGCGAGGCCTTGGTTTCAAGGACAGGTCGGTGTGCCTCGGCTCAGACCAGCGTCGATGGTGCCTGGCTGCAGGGTAGCTCGTAGGTTGCCGGACAACTTGAGGAATGTTCCGGACACGCAGACCGCAGAAAGGCATGTAGACTGTCTGTTCTGTGCTTTGCGTGGGCGAGCGCTTCCCGACGAACAGCAGAGGTATTGCGTCGCACCGATCATCGACGACTCGAAGCCTGAGAAGATCCAGTTCTGGGCCGCAGGGCAGGCAGCTGTGATTTGGGTTTATGCAAGCGATGAGAGCACCAGAGAGGCGTAGATCCAATGCCTTCGAAACTCGTTTGCCAGGACTGCTGCAGCGCTCGGGGAGATTTTGAGTGCGACGACGCCTGGGACAGGAGAACGTTTCAGTCCTTGATCCAGGGCAGGGGGCGATTCCGGCAACCGTTCACTTCGCGCCTGCCTGGCAGCAGGGGCAAGCAGAGTCAACCTCCGAACCAGACTTCGTGTAAGCTCCAGGAAAGCGCACGCCGGCGTCGTCGTGCGCCGGGCAGCACCAGAGTACCTTGGAGCTGACAATACGATTAAAATCCTGCGAGACTGCCTCCTCACTGTCACTCCGGTCAATCACAGGCTTCTTGCAGCCCTAAACCCTGAACTCGAAACCCCTAAACCGCAAACTCGAAACCCCTAAACCCCTAAACCCCGTGAGCTTTTGAGGTACCTGCAGGCCGTGAAGCAGGCGAAGGCGGTCTACGGCCTCTCCAGTCCGGCAGAGCCCATCTTCGTGCAGTGGGTGGTGGACCCGGAGAAGGCCGGAGCTCTGAGTGAAGCTTTTTTGGGTTTTGGTAATTAGGGCTTTTGGGGTTTCGGGGCTAAGGGGTTTAGGGCCTTTAGGGTTTAGGGTTTGGGGGTTTAGGGGTTCAGGGCCTTTAGGGGGTTTAGGGTTTTGCGAAGAGCTGTGCCTGTCTTGGGAAGGTGGAACTCAACTATTGGCTGCTGGGGAACGGAGTCCTGATCGGCTCCTGCCTGGTCTTCCTGGTGCTGTCTGGCGTGGTGAACCTCGGCTTTCTTGGCTACGTGTCTTGGAGTAGGGTGGTGAGATCGTTGTTTCGAGCATCATTTGTAAAGACCGGTGCTTAAAATGTGAAGGATCCTGCGCTCAAAGTGCGACGGCAAAAGAACTCATCATCATGAGCGTGAGTTGCCCGACGTTCCAAAACAAACTCGAGCATCATGAGCATCAGCTGCCCGACGTTGCACAAACAAAACCCGACCGGGTGCGTTTGTGGAACCTCGGGCAGCTGATGCTCATGATGCTCGGTGTTGTTTTCGAGATTGCTGACAGGTGTGGCAGCTGATGCTCATGGTGCTCGGGTACGTTTGGGGCAGCTGATGCTCATGATGCTCGGGGTTGTTTTCGAGATTGCTGGGAAGTGTAGCAGCTGATGCTCATGATGATGGATGGGTTTGTTTTGAAAAGCCGGGCAGCTGGTGCTCAAAATGCCTGGGTTTGTTTCTGGAACGTCGGGCAGCTGATGCTCATGATGCTCGGGGTTGTTTTCCAGATTGCTCGGAAGTGTGGCAGCTGATGCTCATGATGCTCGGTGTTGTTTTCGAGATTGCTGGGAAGTGTCGCAGCTGATGCTCATGCTGCTCGGGTACGTTTGGGACAGCTGATGCTCACGATGCTCGGGGTTATTCTCGAGATTGCTGGGAATTGTCGCAGCTGATGCTCATGCTGCTCGGGTCTGTTTTGCAAAGTCGGGCAGCTGGTGCTCATGATGATGGTCGAGTTTGTTTCTGGAACGTCGGTTAGCTGATGCTCATGATGCTCGGGGTTTTCGAGATTGTTCGAAAGTGTGGCAGCTGATGCTCATGATGCTCGGTGTTGTTTTCGAGATTGCTGGGAAGTGTCGCAGCTGATGCTCATGCTGCTCGGGTTTGTGTTGCAATTTCGGGCAGCTGATGCTCATGATGATGGTCATGATGCTCGGTGTTGTTTTCGAGATTGCTGGCAGGTGTGGCAGCTGATGCTCATGGTGCCTGATGCTCATGATGCTCGGGGTTGTTTTCGAGATTGCTGGGAAGTGTGGCAGCT